AACTATCAAGAATGGGGAAAGGGAGACCTACCACTTGCTAGGAGCTTCCTACCCACTGGCAGGTACATAAATGATCAAGTAGTGGTGCCTGGAATGGCAAGGGAAGGGGATGGGGCAAGCAGAAAGAAGTGGCAGCTGCCTGGCTGGGACACCCTTCACCTGGACTGGTCAGAAGCAAGGACCAAACTCCATCTGCAGCTCCACAAATTGCCCATTTGGACCCAGGAAGGTGCCTTTAGAAAGAAATGTAACATGACATGTGGCTCCTATGCTATCCCTGTCAGACAGCGCTGGTCAAGTGCCTGTGCCCCTTCAGAGCTTCTACTCTGTAGAATCTCCCCAGAGACCATCAATTAGAGGAGGGAAGGACAGTAACTCCTCTCTTTTTGATCTATCAGGATTTGCAAGTTCCTTTGGAAAAAGAGAATTATAGAAACATTGAGGCTGGAAGGAGCACTTAGCACAGGACCATGGGATGGTTGACTCCTCAGCACAGCCTAGCATCCCAGCAGGCCAAAGTGGATGTTTCACAAAGATTTATTGTATGAACAAAGAAGACCATCAAAAACCACATATTGAATGAATGATTCCACCATCATGTAACCACTGCTTTGAGCTGACCCCTTGGTGATATCCCGTGGATCAAAGTTCACCTTACCTGGGAAACAGATGGAGCTAGAACCCAGGTGGCTTTGCCATTAATATCCTTCAGGGAATCCAGGCGTCCCAGTGGTCTTAACTTGCAGTGGTTGTTGTAGAAGCAATTGAAGGAAGAGGCATTGATGCAGCAGCTGTCACCAAACAAAAAGCCAGGATTGCAGACACAGCCCCACCAATAGACAAGGCCGCAGCTGCACCAGGAGCTCTCACTAGATGCATGACAAGCACAGGATTCACAGTGGGCATGCGAGGGACAGCTCTCTAAGGGGAAAACACACAAACTCTGTCAAGCCTGCACTCCACAGCTTTTCTCAGAGAGCCTTTCTGTCTCTCTTCTACCACCAAACTGAAGTTCTTCTCTAAGAAGTAGACCAGTATTGTTTAGCCATAAAAAGGAATGAAGTTCTGATGCATTCTACACATGGATGACCTTGAAAACACTCAGTGAAAGAAGCCAAACACCAAGGCCCACATATTGCATGATTCTATTTATATGAAACGTCCAGAAAAAAAAAAAGAGTTGGATTTTGATAAAGTAATTTTGAGATTCCTATTAGTCATTCATATGAGGATGTCGAACAGTTGCTGGATAAGTGTCTGGATTTCAGAGGAAATATCCAGACAAGATAGACAAATTTGGGAGTCATTTGCAAATAATTGGAATTTTAAAACATGACACTGAATTAGATTACAAGTGTTTGATAAAATTTGGTAGGTAGTAAATAAATATACACAATCTCTTCTTCTATAACACATTTTCTATAACAAACAGCTTATACACAATTGCAAATAGGTGAACCATGTCAATTGTGAAAACTATGTCAGACTAGAATTTTAACCTTCAGCATGAAAGGAAAAAGTCCTCCTTGGACTTGGCTGCTGCATAGTCAGGAGCCATTTTAGTTTTATTTTAAGAAAATTATTGCCGGGCGCGGTGGCTCACGCCTGTAATCCTAGCACTCTGGGAGGCCGAGGCGGGCGGATTGTTTGAGCTCAGGAGTTCGAGACCAGCCTGAGCAAGAGCGAGACCCCGTCTCTACTAAAATTAGAAAGAAATTAATTGGACAACTAAAAATATATAGAAAAAAATTAGCTGGGCATGGTGGCGCATGCCTGTAGTCCCAGCTACTCGGGAGGCTGAGGCAGGAGGATCGCTTGAGCCCAGGAGTTTGAGGTTGCTGTGAGCTAGGCTGACGCCATGGCACTCACTCTAGCCAGGGCAACAGAGTGAGACTCTGTCTCAAAAAAAAAAAAAAGAAAAAAAAAGAAAATTAAAAGTGAGTTTCTACAGCCTTGAATGGTTTTTTCCTCAGGCAGATTGCACTTCTTCCTGCACCCACCTTAACGGCAGCCTTGCAGCCTAGGGTTCCACTTCCATCTTCATTGTCTCAGCTCTCTCAAGCCCGAGTTTCCTCTCTATTGGTATCTTGTAATTTCAATATCCACTAAGGTGGCCTCTAGCTTTACCAACCTGTGTGTCTAGGCTGTCCAAGTCATCACCTGATGTATTAATATTTTAATTTTGTTAATGCTCTGCTTATAAAGTTGCATAAGTTTTGAGTGATCCACCCCAACTCTATTTTTTCTGTAAACCTTATTTGTTTTAGTGTGTGATTTTTCAAAATGAGAGATTTTATCAGGGTTGGGTATATCATTTCTATTAGGAATGCTTGTATATATGTAATCCACATGTTACTTTTGTTCTCATCTTTCCTGGCATCTTAACCTTTAGGAACTGTACCTTTCCCATTAGATACACATGCCCCTTCCTCCATGAAAAACATGGGAGCAGGGGGCACATGACCCTAGCTAGCCAATCAGAATACATTACCTACCTGGCCATGGTAATTGTTTTAGAGATGGAAACATGATCCAGGCAGAACCAATCAGAATTATCCCTGGAGCTACCAGGAAGAACTCTCTTCACTATGGAGCTGTCTTAAACACTATCTGCCTTAAAAAATAATACCATTAGAAGGGGAAGGAGACACAAATTCAAAGTAAATTATTCATCTGTGTATTTCTCTCATTCTTGTCTTCCTGGAAAGCTCCTAGTCGTTCCCCAAGACTCAATTCAATTGTCATATTCCAGTGAAATGTTTCATGGTCACCCTCTACCTCCTTCGTGAAGGGCTGTGAGCTACCTTCTTATTCCCACAGCACCTTGTACACTTCCCTCTTACAACATTATTGTGTAACTTTGTTTTATTGTTTGCTCTTCTCCTTCCTCCACCCTTTGGTCTGTGGTATTCTTGATGGTAGTGACATTGCTTTATTCATCTCTGCAAACCCAGGACCTAATACAATGCCTAGTATTCAGTAAATGTACAGTAAAGGTGAGCTGAATGAATGAAGATATGATTCTGGTAATACATATAGTTGATCACTTTGCATGAGAGGACACATTGGTTTGGATACACAAACACACACACACACAAACACACACATAGACACACATCCCAAGGGGAATATAGGATTTTTGATAGGTAAGAATTTTGATCCATGCTTAAAACAAAAAAAAAAGTGGCAGAGTACTTCATTGAGATTAAACTTGAAAATAGGGCAACAAGAGAGAATGCAAAAAGAAAAAAGAGAACAAATAAGGTTGGAAAGAAACACTACCTTATAGAATTAGAGAGTAGAGGTAGAAAAACTGAGGGCTGGTATTATTCAAGGAAGTAGGTATAGATAAGGAAGAAAAGCAAAGAGAAAGAGATAAAAAGTATAGAGGTGGGAGCTAGAGGCTAGGATAGAAAGGTCCTGGATAGTAGACTTTTGAGCTTTCAATAAAGTTTTAATTTCCACTGTGTGTCAGGCTGTGTGCTGGGTTATTGGGACATTGAAATGACAGTTCATAGTCCCCATGAATTCTACTGATGGGGAAATCTAGGTTTATAATGGTAGTAAGAAAGCAACGGAATGATGAGAACAGGTGCGTGTTGGGGAAATATTGCCCACTTTTTGGAATAGGCAAAACCTTCCATCCTTTACTAGAGTTGTAGAAAGTATGGCAGCTGAAATACTGTCCTCAAGTTGGGCAAATAGTCCATCCACCCCCTCCCTCTTCTTATTTTTTTCTCTCTGAATTCAATAATCCCTCACCCTTGCCAAGGCTAAGGAGCTCTCATTCTACATGCTCTTCCTCACAGTTTTGATATGATAGAGGCAGGAATGTGGGCTTATCACCCTCCCCTTCCTCCGCAGCAGAACAAGATGACCTTCGCCAGAAAATCCCAGGTCCAAGGCAGAATTTCCAAGCCATGTTTACCGGAGGTATTACCTTTTCTATAAGTCCTAGCACCCTAGGGTGCCTTGACTGTCTCAAGGAAGCATCACCACCAAAGCCAGCTTGGGTAGAGCTCTTCCTACTCTGAGTAAGACTAGGAGGGTGCCCTGTGGCACCAGGGTCCCATCATTCCCCACACTATTTTTCCAGGACCCTGGGGGGATCTGAAAAAGGAGGGGCTCGCAGCCTCCTCTGCACGGAAAAGGACTCCTAGGAGGTGGGAGTAACTTGTACCCTCGCTGTGGTGGGCAGTTGGGGAGCTCCGGGTACAGGCATCAACTGTGGAAGGGTCTGCGCATCCCCGCAGCCAGCAGGCAGGTGGAAAGTGTGTCAGATGAGCAAGGGGGTGCTGGGTGTAGATTCTTGCAAGGTAGGGTCTGGGGAGAGGGAAGACCTACGGAAAAGGATACACCTGGGATCCTGAGGAGCCAGTTGCTCCTGTCCTGGGCTGGGTGGGTTCTGGCGCCACTGCAAGGTGGAGACGGAGGGTGGCGGGGGTGGAGGGCTGTATGGAGCTGGTTGTATGTCCTGGGGCCGATTGTGCATCTTGGAGCTGGTTTGGCACAGCCTGAGGGATGGCCTTGGCAATTCTGGGTCCAGATGGCATGTGGAAGGTGTGTTGAGCTCAGATGGGCAGCCCAGGGGCAGCGGGTCCTACGGTGGCGGGGGTGGGGGGAGCGTGGGCGGGTGGGTGAAGAGAGGGAGATCACCACAGATCAGTTGTCCTGTGGCGACTGGCGGTTTTCTTGAGGCGCGGGCTGTGCTCGGCGCGGCTCTGGCGCTGCCGCCTGGGGGCGTCCGGCGGTGAGCCTGGTGGATAGGGGCGCCTGGAGCCCGCCTCCCAGCCCTGGGTCCTGGTACCTGCTGGGGGCGGGGAGGGAGAGGGGCGCACAGCGCGGAGAGGCGGGCGCCAAGCGTGTGAGTCACTCCGCTCCCTTGGGTTAGGAGCGGGACTTCGCCTCCTGCCTGGGGTCTGCATTTCAGCTCCAGCTTCAGCGACTCACCCCAGCAGCCTGATCCCCTCCGGAGGCTGGACCAGCAGCCTTTCCGTCTAGGAGAGGGCCAGGTAAGTTTCTCGTCTTTTGATGCCTACTGTTTGGGTGACTTGGGGGGAGGGGGTCTTCCAGCCTGTGTCTCTGCCTTTGCTTCCTCCCTCTCGTTCTCTCCATTGGAGACAGAAAGTTAGATTTTACAAACGCAACAGAGAATATCGAATCCATGCTCAGACCCCAGACAAACCAAACTCTGGGGCCATATTCTTAATTTCCCGGGTACCTTCAAATGTCCCGATGCGGCGTTTATGGGGCTAGAAATGTTTCATTTGTTTCGTGCATTTCCCTCCTCCCCCACTTTCTTCTTGTGTGATTCTTAGAGGTGGGGACAGGAGAGCAAGAGGGCTGAGCTGGGATCCTTTGCTAGGGTGGCTTCATTCTCGGCGAGCTGGCAGGTGATTTACTGTAGCCTGAGTTGGGATCTTGGAACAATCCTCCCTAGCCCAGGACATGCCAGAGCTGTAAGGTAACAGCAGTTGTTGCATATCTATCTCATCACTATTGACTGAATCAAAATGTTCTGGAGGCACAATTAATGTGAAAGCCATGGTAATATTGAAACTATTCACTAAAGGACTCTATTGAATATTTTATTTTTAATGTATTTTATTCCAGGAAATTTTTAAGAGACTGTTGCTGGTCTTATTTTCTCCATTTTCAGATATGCTTCAAAACCTATTATTTCCTTTGCAAGAAAATCGGTGAGGACCTATTCTGTTTCTCATAAGGATTTAGCAATGCAAAGCTACACGTTAGTCTTTCCTCTAAGGTGGGGGGGTTGCTTTTATTAATTGCTTTTAGAAAAATCAATGCCAGGGAGAGGTTCCCCCTTTCTCTATCATGAAGCAAAGTGTTTTTTGTAACTATTAAATAGGTGCTAATTATTGCTGTCATTTTTCCTTAAAAGTAGCAGAGGAGAGAATCTCCTGGAATGCATGCATTTGTGGCTTGACAACTGATTGCTTTATCATCAAATTGTTTGGTTTGATGCAATGTTAACAGGTGGTCTTAATTCACAACACAGAAGTATTCTGTTTTAGAAAACATTCCTGATTATATGGGAGGAAAAAGTACCCCTCCCACCAAACCATCTCTTTATCTTGCTTTGCAAAAGAGAGAAAGATGGGTGGGGGAATCTTTTCTGGCTGTTCATTAGTCCCCGATCTTTCCTGAATTGTCATTTAGTTTACAGTCTGTGATTATATAAAAGAATCCCCTCCTCGGAAGAAAATTAATAAAGCCTTAGATGTTTAGTCTGATCACAGGGATAATTTTTTAGAGTTGAATCGAAGCTTCCATGATCCTTTTCCAATGTCCTCCCCAGGGAGCTCTCCAAACCGAGTTAGGCTTCCCACCTCTCTGATAACAATAAATTCCTCTCCTCTACATACCTCTACCTTAGCTCTTACCACCTCGTGACTCTTGGTTTACACATCAGTCTTGGTTAAGGTAATAAAATGTCTTTGAAGGCAAGGGTAATGTCTTATTGATCTTTCTATCCCTGGAGCCTAGTAAAGTAGAGGTTTACTGAAAGAAAGAAAGAATGAATAAATGAACGAATTTGGCAGTCCAGATTGGGTTTTCCAGTCCTCGAACACCACCTGGGCATGCTTTCTCTTCACTCCTAGAAGATAATCCTTTAAATTCAATGATACTCAAAGTGCGGATTCTTAGACTGCACGGTGTTCTAAATAAATGAGAGTTTTCCATATATAAAGAAAATCTACATATCGATTATCGATTTTTATTTTTATTTTTTTATTTTTTTGCTGAAAGTAACAGATAAGCCAACTGAAAGTGTCTTTAACAAATAGGCAAGTATGAGAGCAGGTGATTACTGGAGTCGGTTTGGTGGCCCAGTAATGTCAGGGTTCTGGTCAATGCCTTACCTGCGTGGTTTCAAGATGGCTCTAACAGTTCTAGACATTAGGTCCTTCGGCCCATGTTCAAAGACAGGAAACAGGAGGTAGAAAGGGGCAGAGTATTTTTCCTTGTGCAACTTTTTTTTTCATCAGAGAAGTATCTTCTTAGAAGTATCTGTTAGAAGTTCCCTAACAGAATCTCCCTTTTATCTCATTGGCCAGATCTGCGACACATAGCTGCTTTTAGTGTCAAGGGAGGCTGGGAAAGTATCAGGCTTTTCAGCTTCTATAGTGGAAAAGCAGCCAGGGAGAGGGGTGCTGAGGATGACTTTGGGGAGCTCATCAGAAGAAAATCTACTAGACTATCATGAAAATAGGTCTATTTGAGTAGTAAAAGCACATTTAGAGCAGAGCCATGCTAAGGTGTATGGTATTTTAAGAGTGCCAAATGATCACTTTTGTAGAGAGTGTTAACTTTTAGAGACTATAGCTAGCATATATATGTGTGTGTGTGTGTGTGTGTGTGTATGTATATATATAATCTCATATGGTTTCCATTATATGAAATGTGAATCAAACCTTCAAGTTTCTTGAACAGAGTAAACATTCAGTAAGCGATTATCTTCTGAGTGGACTGTTGAGTTTGGGAGCTTCGAAACTTCGCAGGGACATGAGAAAAGGTTTAGCAAGAAAAAACTGATTAGTGGTTTGTCACCCATACCCTGGAATGCTGGTTTACAGAATCGGAGAATCTTTAATTTGGATTCTAGGAGCCTTGAGGACAACTTAACAAGACGGACAAGAAGAAACTAGGGAGAGGTAATGGTACTGACAACTTAGATCAGCAGATTTCCTTTGGGGGCCTTCTCTATATCTGTATTGTGGAAGATGCACTACCACAAAAATGTTCAAAATGGTCCCTGGTGCATACACACACATGCACACACACATAAAACTTAAAAAGTTGATGCATGAAAAGAAATGAATGTATAGTATTTCCAGCTTTGATTCTTGAATCTCTTTTTCCTGGTAGGAGCCCTCAAATTTTTACAAGAATGAGCCAGGTTTTCGGACATAATGGTGGGATATAAATATCAAGAGATGGAAATGTAAGAATTGCATTTGTCTTAGATTTCTCACTAGTCAAAAGAATGGAGTAAATTATCTGTGGTTTTCAAACTTTGTTGCACATTAAAAATCACTTGGAGAGCTTTTTGAAATCCAGATTTATGCGCTGATTCTCAGACTTAAATTGGAACCTCTGGGAACAGGACCCAGGTATCAATATTTTTAAAACTCCCAACATGCACCTGAGTTTGGAAACTATGAATTTGCCAGGGCTGCCATACAAAGTACCACAGACTGGGTGACTTAAACAACAGAAATTTATCTTCTCACAGTTCTGGAGGCTGGAAGTCTAAGATCAAGGTGTCAGTAGGGTTATTTTTTCTGAGGCCTCTCTCCTTGGCTTTCATGTGACCATCTTCTCTCTGTGTCTTCACATCACATGGTCTTTCCTCTGATCATGTCTGTGTCCTAATATCCTCTTCTTATAAGGACAATGGTTATATTGGATTAGGGCCCAGTCACTAGATCTCATTTTAATTTTAATTACCTTTTTAAACGCTCTGTTTTCAAATATGGTCACATTCTGAGGTCCTGACGGTTAGGACTTCAATATATGAATTCAGACCATAAAAGAATCCATCGGACAAGTATGGCACTTCTCAAACTTTAATGTGCACTCGAGTCACCTGGAGACCTTATTAAAATCCAGATTCTGATTCAGTTAAGTCTAGGTGGGGCCTGAGATTCTGCAATTCTAACAAGTTCCCAGTGATTCCAATATTGCTGGTTCACAGATTATACTTTAAGCAGCATGGTTCTGTCTAGATCAGTGGTTCTCCAACTTTAGCAGGCATTAAAATACCTGGAAAAATTATTAAAAGCAGATTGGTGTGATCCAGCCTCAGAATTTCTGATTCTGTAGGTTTGGGGTAGAGCCCAAGAATTTGCATTTCTGAAAAGTTCCCTGTTGATGTTGATGCTGCTGGTCTACAGATGATACTTTGGAAAGCACCTATCTCTGACATTTTGAGACTTAATGGTATTGGATGAGTCAAAGTCATTACACACATCATTGCCTGTGAAGTTTATCGGTGATATTTGCTATTGTAATTGCTGATAGTATTACATTTTTCTTTTGCCAAGCTTAATTACTTTTTCTGCTCATAGGACAAAGGATGAGGAAATGAGAAAAAATGCTGTATTGGAATTTATTTTAATCTCTTACACAAATAGAAGTGAATGAATACAGAGGCTACACATCAGCCCATTTGTCGCCATTCGTATTTGTTCTCCAATCACAGAGCTAACGTGCAACTTGCTCTTCTACCAGCTCAAAGATGATTTTATGGGATTGGCTGCATACCTCTCACATGCAATTTTTTTAAAGGATTAACTATTCTTTAGATGGTGTAATTTCAAAGGGCATTTCAAATTTCTCAAAACACATTAATTTTAAATTTTTTGTAATTTAATCACATTGTTGTTTCTACATGACACCAATACAATAGTGAGCCACATCAAATAATATCCCCTCTCCAAAACAATTGGAGATTAGGAAAACATGTTGCTTACTCTCTGAGAGTTAAATCAGTAAAATTCATGTTCTGTGGATATGATTAGAAACTTTTGAGATATATATATACATATAGTTTCTATATACACCCATGTATATATGTATATACAATGTACATATATTTATATTTTTTGTTTGCTCAATTTTAAAACATTTTATGTTATTTTTGTTATTAATGTTCTGTATTATATCTCTATATGAAACAATGAAAATATTTACATTTTAAATTTTAAAATGTATTCAACTCATAATCCAATAAATATTTTAAACAAAGATGTAATCAGATTTCTTGCTGCTCCATTTATACTGGGACTTTTATTAAAAGAATGGGTGTTGATAAATTATTTCCCTTTTTTATAACTTCTCCAAAGTTAGGCCAGATGTATAGGGCCTCTGTTCAGAATACATTTATTGATGCCATGAATGTTTTGAGTTTACCCTCAAGACTTTCCCACATTTTTCACATCTTGGTGAATTTTGCCAGCACCCAGCACTGTTCAGGGGAAGAGATTATCTGTCATGCTTCTAACCTGAGCATCTCACCTACTGGGTAAGAGAAGCTCAGTTGTGGAGATGAAAACAGCAGGCCCAATGCCATTAAACATTTGAATTGTATAAGTAATTCTGTTTCTCCTGATTTTATGCTCAGCAATCAACCTTATGATGCCACACGTTCGTTGCCTTCAGGGAGAGAATAACCTGGTCAGGGTGTCTGGTCTGTCTGACAGTTACATTTCTCATTGTAAATTACTAAGTCACCACTCTGGCTTTAAACACTCATGAGTGTTGTAAGTGTGAGTCAGCACCCAGAACTTTCAAGCCTGATAAATGCAGGGACACTGATAAGATCAGTTATCTGAGGGTTGGCTCAATACCAGGCCTTCATGCTACTGACTCACCAAAGTGAATTAATACCAGCTAGCATTTATTAAGCATTTTCTGCAGGCACTGTGTAATTTTATT